CCGCGCTCTGGCACGTCCCGTCCGCGCGACCCCGGGCGCTGAGCTGGGGACAGCCGGCGGCGCGCGCCCACCGGGACCGCGCGGGGAGCAGGGCGGGAGCGCCGAGCATGGGTGGGAAGCACCGAAGGGCGACAGGGGACGCAAGCAAAGGAGACAAAGTCACTTCTTCAAGGAAGGCCGCCGGGGAAAAACCCACTGAGGAAGATGCCAGGAGGTGGAGATCCTTAGATTTGCACAAAACGACAATCCCAGGAGAAGCTCCTGGGACCTGGGGGCAAAAGGGAGTGACAGTAACAGTTACGTGACATTCGAGGAGAACTAAAGCACACAACTGAGGGAGCAGAAGGAGGCTAGAAAGCCTGCACGTTGCTTTTTGTTTCTGTAACAGCAGTCACAATAAAGGCGCACTTCTGGAACACTCTGCACTCGGGCCGTGGACTCCGGAGGCGTGCGAGTGGCCCGTGTCCCTCTGCACAGAAGCGCTCCCCAGCCCTACGCCAGGAAGACGCAGCCCAGACGTTTGCTCGCTTCGCAGCAAAGAAGTTTTCCTCAGATTTGGACACAATTTGCCATTTCTTGGGAAGATTTTCTGTCTCTGCCTGTGTCACAAGAGGATTCAGGACCAGAAGAGCCAGGTATTGTCAATTCCTATTTCATTGTGTACATTTTCAGTTTTAAGTTTGTGTGAATCCATTATCCATAGATCTTTTATGCTTCTGATTCTCTTTTAACTGACTCTCAGGTGGGCATAACCAGAACTGCTATTTTTAGCTGAACAAGAGAATTACCCTCATCCTGCTGTTCCTTTCTCTGCTTATCTAATGACAACCCTGTGGAAATGCTGTCTCCAGTCATACGAGCTCATGTAAAATTTTTGTACCAGGTGCTTAATCCTATATTAAATTTTAATTTGGGCTGAATTCTAATAATAATTTTATTGTCTGTATATCTATATAAAGAGGCAAGCAATTGAGCATCCCTGTTATTTCTAGCATAGTTCATAGCTAAAGGATGGCTGCTGGTAGGATCCAAAAGAAGCAATTCTATTCCCAAGGAACGTTGAGATTTATAAATTATAAAGGTCACTTTTCTTAGAAAAGCATAATAAAGATTTTATTTCAACCCTTGTATGTTCCGAACTTCAGGAAAGAATTAGGTTTAGATCCCTGGGCTTGCCCCCCATGGGGGTAACATGTCATTTTCCCCACAAGCTGAGCATATTTCTTCCCTGGTTACGCTCCCCCACTCTCATGGCAGAGCTGAGGAGGAGCAGGGACCAAGGAAAGAGGCAGAGGGATGTTCTGAGCAGAGCAAAAGCGGACAGCATCGTGCCTGCCGGGGTCAGCGGAGCTCACCGCAGCACAGGTCCAAGGCTCAAGTCCTCTCAGCTGGTCAGTTACTGTTGCCTGTGGACATTACTTGGCAGGGAAGTGTCCAATGTGTCTTTTATGGCAAGGACTTGAGGTCATGTTAGAAAGAGATTTATTCACCCTTCCAGTGGATTATTACAGCCCTTAAAAATATTTTGGAAGGCTTAATAAAATGAAAAAACACACATTATACATTAAGTGATAAAATGTGTTACAAAATTAAGTCTGATCATATATATACATACCCACATAGATATATATACACATATACATAAATACATAATATATGAAAAGGCTGGAAAGAAATACTCACATAGTAAAATGTAAATGACTATATCTGAGTGGTGAGATTATGAGTAACTTTTTTTCTACTTATTTACAGTTTACAAATTGTCTGTGATGCACATGTATTACTTTTATAGTCAGTTTTTGAACATTATTTTAAAAGAACGAATGTATAAACAGGAAACTCGGCCTTATAGATTTCGGTTGTCACAGTATCTTCTTTATAGTCCCCAGTTTTTCTTGTCAGTGAGTCCCTGAGTGGTGGGGATTGCTGCTTTCCATTAAGACGTGAGAAGCTGTGAAGAAATTTTCACAACAGTAAATGTTCCACGTGATCATAAAGCCCGGCGTGAGGCCAGCACACACTGTGGTTTTGTAAAGCGTGCATTTCACCACAAAAGGGGTGAATGAAACTGGCCACTTATACCCTGAGGGAAGGTCTTCCAGATTCCCAGGTACTGTGTGTGGTGGTCCTGGGACTTTGCTTGAAGCATATTTAGAACTCCAAGGTGTGATGTTTTTCAGGATGAAGGTGGAAGGCAGGAGAATCACCTGCTTGCTACTCTCCTTCGCTGTGATCTGCCTGGTGGCCACCCCTGGGGGCAGGGCCTGTCCTCGCCGCTGTGCCTGTTATGTGCCTTCAGAGGTGCACTGCACCTTCCGGTACCTGACCTCCATCCCAGACGGCATCCCACCCAATGTGGAACGCATCAATTTAGGGTGCGTGGGGCCCTGTCTTATCCCCTTCTCAAAGAGGGATCAATCATACTGGTGACTTGTCCCCCAAACATCTGTGACTTTGGGTAATTAACAAATGTTTTAACCATATTTCTCTCTTGACGTGAACTCATGAGGATCTTAAGTTTGTTGGGGCAATGAGGAAATTTTTTCTGGTAAAGTTTTTTCTAGGAGAAAGTTCTTCTAGAACCCAAAGTCCCTCTTGGTAGCTTTGGAAGCCCATGATTGTACAGAAGCTACATTCTGGCTACATGCTTAACAGTTAACAGTCAGGGTTATGATATATCATAAGAGATGATAAGGCAACTGGAAGTGTCCTCCTGTATATAAAAGATATGTATAAAAAGTCTGCTCTATCCATTTGTAAGGCCCTTTGACTTCTTTCAATACAAACGTACTTATTTAAAATGCATGCCTAATTAAATCTGCCAAAAGATGAGTTTATTTCAAAGGTTCATGAAAAAATGTGTGTG